CCTGCTCTGTGGTGATAGAAGGGCGCGCCCCAACCCCTTGATCCACCCTACTCTGTGAGTGACAGGGGGGAGTGCCCCAACTCCCCTATTGGCCCTACTCTGTGCGTGACAAGGGGGAGCTCCCCAACCCCCTGATGGGCCCTGCTCTGTGTGTGACGGGGGGAGCTCCTCAACCCCCTGATTGGCCCTGCTCTGTGCATGACAGGGGGCGGCGCCCCAACCCCCTGATCGGCCCTGCTCTGTGCGTGACAGGGGGCAGCGCCCCAACCCCCTGATCGGCCCTGCTCTGTGCATGACAGGGGGTGGCGCCACAACTTCCCTATTGACCCTGCCTTGAGTGTAACAGGGGGCGGTGCCCCAACCCCCCAATCGGCCGTACCCTGAGCGTGACTAGGGGTGGCATCGCAACGTCCCAATCCGCTCTGCTCTGTGCATGACGGGGCGGCACCCCAACTCCCAATCGGCCCTGCTCTGAGCCCGACCAGGGGCTGCACCTAGGGATTGGGCCTGCCCTCTGCCACCCGGTAGCAGGCCTAAGCCAGCAGGTCATTATCTCCCGAGGGGTTCCAGACTGCGAGAGGGCACAGGCCGGGCTGAGGGACCCCCTCTCCCCACCGAGTGCACAAATTTTTGTGCACCGGGCCTCTAGTATGTAATCTACACTAATAAAAGAGAAACATGGTAATTAGCGTACGACCGCTACCCTTCCCATTGGCTAATCAGCATATCCTTATGCAAATTAACTGTCAGCCAAGATGGCGGCCGGCAGCCATGCACTGAAGCAAGCAGGGAGGCTTGCTTGCTTCAGTGACTGCGGACTCCAACGTTCCCCGCCTAACTTGCCGGCCTCTCAGCTGCAACTCTAAGCAACTATGTACTATGATGCAAATAAGAAGCTAAACAAAACCCCAGAAACCAGCCGGACTGAAAGCCAGCCGGACCGCAACATTGTATCGATGTTTTCAGCAGCGAGGCCTCAGAGCTAAAGCTGGCCCAGAATAAAAAAAAAAAAAAAAAGAAAACAAGGAGCGGTTGGGAGCTTCAGTCACTCGCCAGCCGGAAAACAGCCCTCAGCCCCTCACCCAGACTGGCCAGGCACCCCAGTGGGGACCCCCACCCTGATCCAGGACACCCTTCAGGGCAAACCAGCCAGCCCCCACCCATGCACCAGGCCTCTATTCTATATAGTAAAAGGGTAATATGCCTCCCGGCACCGGGATCAGCGGAGCAGCGAGGCTCCCAGCACCGGGATCAGCGTGACAGGGGGCAGCGCCCAAACCCCCTGATCGCCCTGTGGCTCTGTGTGTGACGGGGCGGGGCCACAACCTCTCTATCCGCCCTGCTCTGTTCATGACAGGGGAAGGCGCCCCAACCCCCTGATCAGCCCTGCTCTGTGCCTGATAGGGGGGAGCTCCCCAACCCCCTGATTGCCCTGCGGCTCTGTGTTTGACAGGGTGCAGCGGGCCAACCCCCTGATCGGCCCTGCTCTGTGTGTGACGGTGTGGCGCCCCAACCAACCCCCCTCCACCGGCCTTGCTCTGTGTGTGACAGGGTAGAGCCATAACCTCCCCATTGGCCCTGCCCTGATTGTGACAGGGTGCAGCACCCCAACCCCCTGATCTGCCCTGCTCTGTGTGTGACAGGGGGCGGTGCCCCTCCTCCCCAATCGCCCCTACTCTTTGCTCTGTGTTGTGTAAAGGGGGAGAAGCCCATAACCCTTCCCCCGTTGCCCCTGCCCGTTGGGGGGAGAAAAGGGGGACAGGCGGCCCGAACCCCCCTTAATCCGCCCCTTGCTTTTGTGAAGAGAAGAGAGAGGGGGGTGGCCAAAAATTCACACCTATTCGGGGCCCTTTATTTTGGGAAATAAAG